CACGCTGTTCGACGAACCACCAACAGCGTTCGGCGGTGTCGTCTGAGGAACCGTAACCGTTTCGAATTCTTGTAACACAGCTGTTTCCGGACCCAAGACGTTGCACCTGGTAGACGCGGTGCCGGTAGCTGGATTTAAGCCTGGTCCTCCGCCACCGCCTAAACGTGGGTTAGCGAGGATCGGGTCGCGCGAGTTCAGCGCCAACTGCTGCACGGCGCAGGCCGGATGATGAGGCACCTCGTCATCTTCGTCCGACCACGTAAGATCGATCACCTCTGAATGCGATGGGTGCTCTCGCTTCGCTCGTCGGACCTGGGGCAACACCGCGTCGCCCCCTATTCCTTCAGAGGAAACCATCAGTCGCGCGTTCTTGCTTCTCTCCGGCGGATACATGGAAGAGTTCCTGTTGCCATCTTCTTCGCCCGCACCCCGGCAGTCAAAAGTTCTTTTCTTGCCATTTGAACAGGTAAACTGCTTAGTATCAACTGTAACCGCCGAGTGAACTAAAAATAAAAGAAATACCAAAAAACAAACAAAAATTTTAATTTCAACGAACTTACTTGCACTACTAGCAGCCAAGGTGTCATTGGCCATTATACAATTTCCGGTCAGTTTAATAGCTCCTAAACAAGCAACACATTGCTTAAGAAAGAAAGATACAAAGCAATCAAAATGCAACACGGCAAGCATATGCCATATACGGCTACTCACGCGTCGTAACCGACCGGCCTCATCAATCATCGATCGCGTACTTTGTCTCTTCTACAGAGACGTCTAAAGCTAAACAAGAACAATCGATCTCGACCAGAATCATCACAAAGTACAGTGCGTAATTACGGCACTAGCATGTATCATTACTGGTTATATTGGAAGATACCTTATGTCATATATGCAACTGATAACAGGAAAAATAGGGCCGTTTAGGACAGCTTTGCTCGTATTAAAACTTCGATGTTGCTCGCCTGGAGTAAAGAGATGATACTGTAATGACAAGCAGTACTGGGAATGGCCTCTGTCGTCTAAAGACTTCCAAACTGGACGAAAATTGGTCTCTTCCTTAACATGTGAAAGCAAAACTTGTGAGGAACCCATCCGGCACAGCTAACAGATCAAAAAGTGGACCGGCGCTGTGAAACGGTTGGGAAGAGCGACGAATTTAAGTATACGTTGAGAATCCCAAACCTAAATTTCGAAGTCCGTAACACTGTTTTAACTCACTTTCGAGTCCTGAGCTTTCGGAATATCTTTCGATAATATGAACAACAGACGCAACAACCTTCCGTCCCCCTTCCCTTCAACCTTCTGTCGGCAATGATATCTTCTGATACCCGGCCAATCAGAAAAGAGCCTCCCTCCGTCCCTAACGAGGGTCGGATGATCAAACGTTATCGGCAGTTCCATACGTTCCATCAGTGAGCACACCTGGTCACTACTCATTCTGTCTGCAGAGAGAGCACATCAAACCCCCTATTTTCACAGTTATATTTTATCATGGGAGAAACACATTAGCTCACAACTTCCATTCCCTCTTCCTTTCTCCCCTCCAACCCATATAAGCTATATGAAAATGTCCTTCCGTACCCGATGATGTTCTGCTGCAACAAAACCTGGGTCTTATTAATTTATGGAATGACTAAATGAGTATCCTTTTCTTGAGATTTGCAAGGAACGCCGCTTTTGCTACGCCGCTTTCTGGCTCACAGCAAGCAGCCATTTGGGATAAGAACTCACTGTTTTGAGCCATAAATATATTTATTCAAAGGACGCAGATTCGTAATTTTAATGTCTAAGTGGAGAATTTTGGTGGAAAAATGTGTAATATGGTTTTAATAGTTTATATTTTGGAATTTTGTGACCATTATGAGTATCTTCATCGACTCTCTGATTTTTTCCACAATTCTCTTCAACTTCAACATATCACGTATTCAAAAATCTTAAAAAATGCAAAATCCGAAACAATTTTGGTCACATTTCGGATAAGGGATACTCAACCGATATCTCGGCTCCATCGTGTCGAAATAGTAGTTAAATAGACTGATTGCCTCAGGTCCGAGTGCCTTAGAAAAAGTAGACAACTTTGGGCGGATAAACGAGTTCAAAATCTCTTCACCGAAATCCACTTGTACCTTGCTTCTGTTAAATCAGTGTTGTTGTAAGAAATGGGGGAGAAACAAATGTTCTAACGAAAGATCAATAATTGGGTACAGCTATATCGGAGAAACCGAAAGTATGCACGAAAATACGATACGGGATATGGCATAGTTTAGCGGATAATAAGTAAATGGGACTCTACCGCTGCAGAATACGTGTCATGCAGTGAAATGTCAGAAAAATCGACAATGAAATTAACTTGAGTAGAACGATTTTAGAAGCAGTCATGGAGGAACGAACACACAACCTTTCAAAACAATATCCACTACATCAAACTTCCATGACGTAAAACATTAGACAGACATCTCTAGCAATAAATTACATATAAAAACAAAAATAACAGAATAGTGGAAGCAAAAAAAAGAATAATTGAGAAGAAACAAAAGAACTGAGGAGAAACGAACAGCATTAAAATTGTTCCAACAGCTATCGTTGCTAAGAAATCGACAGAAGTAAGAAACTATAGCTAGTTTCTGAATCCGATGTCGCAGGCAGTATCGACAAGAGCGTGTTCAGAAGCGATTTGTCATCGTTTACATTTGTGCCTTCATCGTCAACGATAATCGCAAGTTGACGTTAAACACAGAGAATAGACGTTGAGAAAATAAGAAAACAAATGAATGCTGTTTTACTCGGTTTTACTTGATTCCTTCATGCTTTCGACAGGTATATAAAACGGGCTTCTGAATGAGCGTCGACAATCCGCACCAGAAACTGAATACCGAGAAGTACGTATAGCCAGTGCTGGCTTCGACAGGAAGTAAAGAAAAGTTTGTTAACACTAGGATTGGGAAGCCAATCTTTTTGTAGCATCCAATAATACCAGAGCATCCACA